GGACGGGACGGGACGGGACAGGACAGGACAGGACGGGACGGGACGCGACGAACAGCGTTTAACCAGCTTCTTGCGTATTCGATCGAGACTAAGCTCGTCTCCTAAGCACCCTTCACCTTATTTCCCGTCTTTTGCGCATTCACGCGTCTTCAACGCTATACGTATTTCCCTTCGACGCCGATATACGAAAAATCCTGTTTGCCAGGCATGGAAATCTCGTATCCAAATTCATGCTCGACATCCGGGACAAAGAATAGGTCATCAAAGCACCACCACCACCACCACCACTACCACTACCACAAAAGCGTGCATCGTTAAGAACATGCGCGCGCATAACGGCGAGAGGGGATACGGATAGATAAGTAGTAGGGGAGGGGGAGCAAAGTGACCAGGGGAGGGGAGAGAGAGAGTGTGAGAGAGGGATGTAGAAAAGCAGAAGAGAAATGCTAAGAACGGTCCGATCCACAGGGTAGACAAGATTCACACTTGTTGCTCCCTTCTTGGCTGGTGTATACGGTGAAAAGCCCGTTTATCCGAAGAATTTCCTGCGGTCAAAAGGTCACGTGGTTATGGTGCACACAACATCCTCTTCCCTCGCCTTCTTTTCTTTTTTTCTCTTCTTCTTCTTTCCTTTTCGTTCCTTCTCCCGCGCCTCTCTCACGCTTCTCTTTCCCTTCTCTCCTCTTTATCCCCTCCTTTACCTCTCTTCCTCCTCCTCCTCCTACTTATCGCTTCTTTCTTTGTTCTCGTTTGCGTAGAGAAACGTTTGTCCGTTTGGATTCGTTACCTTTGCGCGGCATTCATCGCGCAACGGAGGGCGAGCGCAATTTTTTCGATGGCTTGAACGACTTAACGAAACGAAACGAAACGAAGGAAGAGAAAAGAAAAGAGAGAAGAGAGAAGAGAATCGGAGAAACAAACGCGTAGCGTGACTGTGACTGGTAATAAGAGATGTGCGCGAGATAATAAACGGACGCTCGCTCGTAATAGGTAGAACCGGTTTAGGCAAACCGTCGACGATAATACGATAATACGAATCGACGTATACACGGAAGAAGGATGAAACGCATTTACGAGCTGCGAGTTGCGCGATTCATCTCGACGACGTGTTGTGGCGGAACTAAAAGGGTTTGCGGTGGTGGTATCGCGTCGAGGGTGGGGGTCGGGACACGTAGGGACA